AGCATGTCAAAATTTTCTAAATTTACGTCTATTTTAAATGAAGAAATATTTCTTTCATATTTAAAATTAAATTTTCTGATACTTAAGTTGACACTTTTAACTTTGGACGAGATGTAAAACTTTATATCGTCCTCGGAAGTATCCCTCGAAAATCTAGATACAAATATACACTTCTTTGGGGGAACCACAACCAGTCTCCTAGTATCAGACTTGATTACCGGCGGACGGGGTTGAGTAACTGAGTTACTAATTGAGGGTAGAGTAAGCGTTGGAAGATTAGATGGCGGTGCCACAACTTCAACGGGGGACGAGGAAGATACTGCAGGGTCGTTATTATTAGAAGCAGACTTTGATATATGTTCTTTTGAGGAAGATAACTCCGTTGTCTGTGGACATGGAGAAGAAAGATTAATTAAGTCATTCGGAAGATTGTTCTGACGTGGAACGGTCCTTTCATTAGGCGGACTGTGAAGACGCTTACGTTTTGACACATGAATGTCCTTCATAGATTGTACGGTATCTAAGCATTTAAAAGATTTAAATACATTTTCGTAATGTTTAAATTTTTCGGTCAGTACCGACAACTCTCTCCCTACCTCAGAAAACCCATTTCTGGTTTGCCTAAACAACTTAAAGAGATCAACTTCGGTTGACCTGCACTTTAAGCACGACCAGCGAAGACCTTTGCCATCATTAATAGCGTCCAGAATTCTTCCTGTCAAACCAGCACATTTTAGATGGCAAATACCATCACAGAGCCAGCACGATAAGTAGCGTTCAGATTCGCTTTTGATTTGGCAGTTATCAAGATCACACTTCATATTGAAAGATTTAATAACACTTATGTTAATAAAAAGACAAGCAAAATAAGTTTAACACAACACACACAACAATTCAGGAGCTGATGTATTTAGCTTAAAAATATATGTAGCGAACAGTTTGAGTATCACTGTAATGTGACACTTAATAAACGCAGCGCAAACAGCTGTGACAAGAAATACTAAACGAAGTAAACAAAAAGAGCAAAAAGGAATGTGCAAAAATAGAAACGATCTCAGTTAACTACAAAGGAATAACAACAACAATGATAACAACAAATGACTCGGCAAGATTAGATGTAAGCTAGTGAAATTTAATTAAATTTAATAAAAACCACAAAAATCACAAAACTTTCACTTAGCTTCGGTTATTATCACACTAAGATGCTCGTAGGCACTTTATATAGCAACTTTTACTCAAAATTAGCACAATAAACTTTGCAAAATACAAAGACCAATCAAGGCACAAATAAGTAGAACTTCACAGCTTGACGTTTGCGCGATATCCGCAATAAAATCTGCGTTTTGCTAACTTTAATCCCACAACTGCCACAATTCTTAAAGAATAACCTTGCCCTACAAATATTATTTCTGGATAGGAATTCTAACTGAATCCGTAATAAAATTTAAATTTGTGCAAAAACCCGATTTTTAACACCTTGCTAAATATATCTTATCTATAAGTGTCGGCCGCTGTGGTGTAGTGGTAAGCAGTGCGCGCTTCCACTCCGCAGCATCTGGGTTCAAACCCTGGTCAAAGCAACATCGCAAAAAATATAGAAAAAAGGTTTTTTCTTAACAGCGGTCGTCACTCGGCAGGCAATGGCAAACCTCCGAGTGTTTTTCTGCCATGAAAAACAGCTTCTCATAAAAATACAATCGCCGTTTGGAGTCGGCGTAAAACTTTAGGTCCCTCCGCTTTGTGTGACAACATCAAGGCGCACGTCACAATTCGGAGGAGAAGCTCTGCCAAACACTAACATATGTGTAAGCGCCAATCTATTATTATTATATTATTATAAGTTTTCGAAAACCAATTACAAAAAATTGTTGACTCTCACAAAATTAACCTACTGGTCATAAAAAAAAAATGTTTAAAATATAGGTCTGGAAAAACACCAATTTTTTTGAACCATGTTTTTTATAGAGAATTAAACGAGGATTACGGACGTGTAATATTAAATACCTAATTTACTGGTATTCACTATGCAAATCAACTTCAAAAAGTTCAACAGTTAATAACTATTATGACCATCTTTAGCTTTAAAACGATGCTAAGATTAAGTCTCTACGATGAGCAGAAGCCGAGATATAACGTTTTGAAGAATTACATGATTAGTCAGAATCACGAAAAAATCCAAACTTTGACAGATCGTATCTCCGAAGAAAAAAATTTAGAAAAAATTTTCTCGAATCGAGTTATCTTATCTCATGTATAAAACCCATAAAAAAATTTTAAGCAAATCGGAGATATGAGATATTTTTTTTACCAAATTCGTCCGACTTAAAAAAAATGTCTCATATACATATGTACATTAGACTGCATCGCTCCCCATACAAAGAAAAATCGGTACTATTTTTCCATTAGAATTATAAAATCTATTATATTTTAAGACGTCCACCAAAATATTTCCGAAAAATATGAAGATTTAAGTGAGCTGGACCGATTTGAAAATACCTCCAAAAATGGAGTTTTTCATGAATAAAAATAGTTTCTTAAATATTTTTTTTTGAAAAAATCCCTTAAATGACAAAACGGTTTAAGCTTAAAAAATTTGCATGAAAATATTTTTAAAAAACTAAAAAAAAAAAATTCAACGGAATCGTAATGATGAGATTTTTGATGCTGTTTTTAAACTTTTTTCAAAGATTGGTATAAGAAAAACTTGAATAACTGAACCTAAGCTCTTCCGATTTAGACTTAAGAGGTGTCATTGGAAAGGTATTATCTCACCCTTTTTAATTATTTGATAATAAACTCATTAAAAGGATGAAAGAGAAAGGTAGGATGAACGAACGTCATTCAAAGTTGAATTAAGATGTGTTGGTATTTGAAAAAAAATAAAAAATGGGACATGAATGACTTTTTTTGGACAGAAATAAAAAAGTGTGAAAATACCTTTCTATCGAGATCCCATAAGTCTAAATAAGAATAGTTTTGGCCCAGTTATTCAAGTTTTTTGTAAATCAATCTTTGAAAAATGTAAAAAAAAACAGCATCAAAAATCTCATTCTTACGATTCCGTTGAAAAAATTCTAAATATTTTTAAGCAGATTTTTTATGCTTAATCTGTTTCGTCATCTGAGGGATCTTTTTTCAAAAAGTTCTTTAAGAAACTATTTTTATTCATAAAAAACTCCATTTTTGGAGGTATTTTCAAATCGGTCCAGCTCACTTAAATCTTAATATTTTTCCGAAATATTTTGGCGGACGTCTTAAAATATTATAAATTTTGTAATACTGGCGGAAAAACCGCAACTTTTTTTGGTGATGCAGTCTAATGTACATACCTATATACATGTATGTATGTGCTGTCCCTGTATATACCACTATACATACATATATATTTACAAATATACTTTTTAGATATTTTTAGATATGAAAAATGTGTACGTGTGCTTCCCGTGTCTTTGAAGGTCAGCATGGAAAAACTGACAGCAATCATTTAACGAAAATTACACTGAGGCCACAGGACAGTTTTACATGCACAAAACGGAGTTCAGGCATTCACCGACCACCGCCTTGACATCATTGAATCAGACGTCGAGGTGGCCCTCTCGAGTGGGTGAACTCGTGCATTCACCGGCGCAACCAACAGCCAGGAAAGCATAACTGCTCGAGCCTGAACTTTCGAGTTCAATTTGTATGTTTTTAATTTCTTATTTTTTATATTATTTTATTTTATTTTTATTTTATTTACAAATAAACAAATTACAATATTGCCTTGTATTTAAAAATGCCTAAACTTAGCCTAGTTCATAATTGATTCAACTTGTTAGTTTATACCTTCACTTCAGCTATCGTCTTCCTCCAATCGCTCCACGAAACTAGTTAAGTTAGTTTAACAAGTAGAATTAAGGGATAATTATATATTACGGTTACATATATGTATATTTTCTTGAGGCACTGTGACACAGCGTTTTTCTAAGCAAAAATTCAAAAGTTCAGGGACAACATAAGGCCATGCAGCATGGACAGGGGCACGATCACTCTGCCATTGGCGCCGTTAGCGCCGATGGTCAGCAAGTTCATGTGCACGCGCTGCCACACATTTGCTGGAGGGGGGTGGTGGCGAGCAAGATCAAAAATTTATAAATTTATTGCAGCAGCATGAGCGACAATGATGACGATGCATAAGTTTGCGTTCGGTGATGAGGAAGAATCAAACGAAATCCAATTTTCTTTTTCAATGGAACACGTAATGAGAACAAAACGTAGTTGATTCTGTCTGTGGCTGGGTGGACGTTTATAGGTAGGATATTATGTGTGGATGTTTGCGTGGCTGTGTAGGTATTAAATTGTTTTTTTTTTTTTTGGTACTGAATTGTAGAAGTTTCCTTGTGTTCGTGTTTGCAAATGTACGTCCCATTTACTTGCGTGAAATATCAGCAAAAATAGAAACGTTGCGTTCTTTGGACTGCCGAGCTCATTTTTGTTTGTTTTTAATTTTTGCACCCGCCACGCACCGACTAAATGTAATAAGTACGTGTATATACGTACTGTTTATATATGTTTCTGGGGAACATTGTATGTTGCTGAATCAATTTAGTTTTTGCAAAGTATCAAATTAACTCAAAAATAATAAATCGAACTTTTTGAAACTAAAGAAAACTGGATTTGCAAAGCTGGGAAATGTTATTTCCCCTTGAGTGCAAACTTTATTTCGGTTTATTCTTCCTCATCGACGCCCACACAAGTTGGGCAGACAGGTTTGCCTTCCATGGCGTAGAATGACTTGCCTCTCACAGCTTTCTTGCAGTCCTAGAAAGGTGAAAATTACAAATAATTTGAGAAATCATAAAATGTTTGAAGTATTTCAATGCGTTTGCAAGCATCAACCATAACAAGAAGGCTTTTAAACCTCTACCGCAACAATTGAATTTTCCGCACTTACACCCTCATGCAAAACAACAGTAAAAGCTGGTGCAAATTACATTCAATAGCAATCTTTTTCTACTCACCCGACAGACGAAACAATCAGGATGCCATTGCGAATTTAGTGCCGATATGTAGTTCTCCATAATGGCCCGGTTGCAGCCATTGCACTTCGGCGCGAACATTTCAAAATAGTCGTTGCGACAATAAGGTTTGCCGTCGCGTTCATGGAAGCCATCCTCGCCGAATTGCTGTCCGCACTGTGCACAGAAGAAGTGCTCTGTGTGCCATGTTTTGTCTAAAGCTGTCACGCATTTCTACAAGTAAAGAGATAGGTTTTAATATTGTTTTTCATACAAAATCTCAACAAGCAGAAGAGGGCCGTACATCTAAAATAGCACCATTGCAATATGCACAACGTGGACTGAACAAGTTGTGGTAATCCGGTTCGCAGTAGGGGAATCCATCGCGTTCGAAGAAGTTGCGTGTGCCCAGCTCCTGATTACAGTGGTTGCATGTGAAGTGCTCCGGGTGCCAGGTTTTGCCCAGAGCTGTGATCACTTGGCCCACAATAGGTTTTTCGCAGGCATTGCAGCAGCCCTTTTGCACGGTGTTGACTCCTTGGCGGCTCATATTGGCTTGTAGACTACCAAGCATAGAATCCAACTGATCTGGCTCGTTATCTTCTACGACGGTAGAAGTAGTGGTTTCAGTGATTGTTTGTGTTAAATGTGACACACCTTTATTCGGTTTAGCGTAATCGGTAACTGTTTGGTGGTGATGGTTCGAGCCGTTATTGACCTAAAACAATAATAATAAAAAAAAAATATTTATATCCTGTATGACATCCTTGACCCTTGCGAAGGATTGTAAGAACGATTAAAAAATGTATTAACACGTTTGCCGCGGTAGCTGGTGCCTTACGTTCTCTCGTGCGATCTAAAGCATCTGATGAAAATTTTTAAACTGAAAATACTTTTATGCGCGCCGAACTCAAAAACTTGCGTCTTCGTCTGCGAAACAACAACAACGGCAGAATTAATCGGAATAGAGAAGAGGAAGAATCAAATAAACAAAAGCAAAAGTGTGACCGTGTTACGGACTGGCAAATGCGCCATCGCAGGCAGCAGCGCTGATGGGGAACAGCGTCTGTATGGCATTGCCAACTGTGTTCATGTATGAAAAGAATTCCGCTCATACGTGGGCAGCGCTACACATGTAGCCATTATTGAATACATGCATATGTGTTTGCGTGTGCCTTCCTTCAGTGATTTTTACCTTTTCTGGCTGTCGTTTTCGCCTTTACAAAGGGGATTTTCCCATCTGCTGCATTCTACTTCAATATTAATCACGAGCTTTCGCTAAAAGTCAATAAGATGATCGATGTACTGGATCCCAAACTTTTTAAATCGGGTTTAACCAGGCTTAGAGCCGTTTTCTCGAGTAGGTTTTAAATTTCTCTGCCCTTTAAATAGAAATTTCGTTCTGAAAAAATTTGATAGATTAATTTTAACAGCTACTTGAGAAACGGCACTAACAGCAAATTTCACAAAAGTTGATATAAAACTATTCGTCGATTCAAATCAGTGTCGGCCGCACTTACACAATCGCATTTTGAGCATGTGTTGGAAGCACAAAAGCTCATCCCCTGTAAAAAATGGGACTAATCCGGGATGACTCCGGGAGCAATCGCAAAGGAACATGCGACTAATACCACTTTAGATCTCTTTATATGGAATGAACTGTTCGCTTTTGTTCGAGCATGTCCTATGAAGAGACTAATTGTTCACCTTTATACCCGAACGGGTATAAAAAGCGACTAGTCACTTAAAAAAATAAAAATAAAAATTTGCGCCAGCTGAGATTCGAACCGGGGTGCTCAGTTTTGTTAGGCGAATACTCTCTCTGCGAGCCATCATTAAATCGTTAATAGTACCCGTTAGAGATGAGTTGGGGACTAATTGATCTTCAATTATACCCAATTGTACCCGATTGAGAGTAATCTCGGAATATTCTATTTAAAGATTAGTCGCACAACTTTTTGCAGGGTCGATACACCCAAAAAAATTTGAAAACGTAACACAAAGGTTTTGTTTTTGCTAAGTAGAACGTTAGTAAAGTTTAAAGCATTGCTTCGTTAATATGTATTTAAATAAAATAAAATGCACATACATATATATATGTGCGGACAAAGAATGGTCGCACAGTTTGTTTTGCTTAAACTAAACAAACTTTTTACTGCGCATATTTATTTTACGAGGAGGAAGCAGCGAAAGCCTAACCCCGACTTTAACCCAAACTAAACTTCTTACCGTCATGTACCGTTCCCCTCCCGGTACCACCATCAAGGATTTGGTCGGGATTATAACACTGTGTGACTGCTAAAGTTATAGATCTATTAAAGCACAAAAAATATGCATACTTAGAATTTTGAATACCCTCAAAACTGGACTTAAGGTCTAAAAACGCGCTTTTCATAGGTTGAGCCTTATAATTGTTCGTATGAAAAATATTTACAGTGCGTACACGGTAACCGCAACCCTCAAAACGTGCAATTCCTTGATTAAAGCAAACCTCTAAAGCAAAACATTGTAACCTTTATAAATTCAACTTCAAAACAATTCAACCTCAATACCTACAACATTCTTTGTTTATCCCTTCGGAGGGCGCACCGCGGCAAATAACCCGCAAAAATTGTAATTTGTGGTTTTCAAATACTAATTGTACTAACCGGCCCTGCCACTTAGTGACTTTGTAAGTTTTGAGACGCAGCATGGTTCACATTTAGCTGTTAGTTGCTGCGGTATATCGTTCAGTTGATATTTGTATTTGAAAGTTGGTGTCTTATATGTATATCCGGCTGAATTGCCGCATCGCGTCCTTCCGTGTACCAAAAAAATTTGAATGTAACTCGCAAAATTTTGTGTAAGATAGTTGGAAAAGTGAGTTTGTGATAAGGGTCTAAATAAAAATTGTTATTTTTTTAAAGGATGTTTTTAAATGATGTAGTTTAGAACGAATTTCCGTCATCCCTTGTCAAATTTGGTTTAGAGACAAACTGGTTTCGGCGTTGTGCCATCTTACAACAATAACAAACAATTAATTTTTAGCAAAAAAAACCGGCTTAAAAAAATATTTATATATCTATATATTTCATGATTCAATGATCGGATCTAAACAAAATTAGTATGGGACCACCTCTGAGACACTACTTTTCCGTTGCAAAAAGGATTAGCATACATAAAAAAAAAATATTCCGACGAACTGATAACCTCCTCCTTGTTTGGAACTCGGTTCAAAAGGAGATGTTTTTAAACATATATAGAAGCGCACCAGCTAGCTACGCAACAGAAATTGAAACCAGGAATATGTACCAGGAATAATATGACATTCTTTTGTATTAATTGTAACAAAAATGTTTGCGGAAAACATTGCAAGCATATTTCACAATGTGTAGAATGTACCAACACCACTCTTGATGATGACGCATAAAAATTTAAAAAATAAATGCTTATAATATGTTTCAGTATAAACACAAATTATTCAAATGTTTTGCTTGAATGATTTTTCGACATAAAAAAAAAAAAATGCAGTCAACCTTTGAGATACACCTTGCGGCTAAATTGCCGCGGCGCGACCTCTCGTGTAACTTTCAAAGCGCCCCTCCGAAGGGTTATGCATGCCGCACACACAAAATTTGAATTTTTTGCCCTTCTTTGACTTACCAGTATTCTGGAAAAACTAAATGTGGTGTTTCCGTTAAAGTGATGTGTGATGAGTTTAAAACAAACAAACCAACTGTTATCAGAAATAGTCAAAATGAAAGCAAATGTAAAGATAAAAAATATAGAAGCCGCGCTTGAGAAACTACAAACTTTAAAACAGTGCGAGTACCCAGAAAGGATTTACATAAATGGTTTTTTTTAAGAGAAAGTACAATTTTCATATCTATCCAATTTGTGAAAGCTAAAGTCCGCAAGTTACATAAAAATAACCAACTGAATCTTTTGCCAGACAAGACATACATTGCTGATGGGTCTAGACCAGTAATTCCCAAAGTGGTCCAGGGCGACCCCCAGGGTCCACGGGAGACAAGCCGGGGGTCTACGTTGGCGTGAAAAAATATGGGGGTCCCCGAGATGTAAGTGGGGGTCCGGGAAAATGTATCTGGTTTCGATAGTAAAGAACCAAAATGGTTGCTTGATAGCCTCATTATTTAACAATAATTATTTTGATTGGTGTCTTGACGCACTGCTGCACTTACCATAACTCTGTGTCTTCATACTTGGGGAATCATTAAAGACCACCTGCAGGCTAAAAATAAACGGGAGTTGGTTAGGGTGGGTAAAAAAAAAATAAAGTTTTTTTTTTTGATCGGACACACGAAAACTAGTTCCTAGGTACCTCTAGAAAGTGCATACCAAATCTGAGCTCTTAATATTACG